TATATATATATGGGTTCTTTAACAAAGATTTCAAATTGTGTGAATTGTTTCATAAAATATAATTTTTCTGCTTTTGTTCGTAATTCATTCACGGAGTGTCTTTATATTTATACAATCACCTGAAGGTTGGCAACCCTAGTACTAAGGCCCAGAGGTCCTTTCGTGGAAAAAGAGGTGCAGGAGCTCATTAGCATAACTCATTAGCATAACTTATTTGCACATGCCACGCCCCCTGACATCACCGGAAGTGTGTCAGAAGGCAACACCCACCGCTCAGGCTCCACTGGACTGTTTTGGATTGCTAGCTATTGGGGGAGGGGGGGGAAATGCAGATCTGTCCTTGCAGAGGAGGGAGAGCTTGTGCGTGAATAAAACTTGGTCTTAAAGGTGCCGTTTTGGGCCGGGGGGGCTCTGCAGCTTACCTGGCTGCTTCTTGCTCTGACTGAGGGCTGCTGGGAGCAGGGGGTGGGGCTTGTTGCATGTGCCCGCCCCCTGGGCTCTTTACTGCCGGAGCACCGCTCCTGTGCGCTCCTGCAGGAAATGACCCCTGCTAAGGCCAGTGTGCAGGTCATTGTTTTTTACCTTCCGCAGACCTACCTGATCTACTGCAAATCTATGAGTGCTGCATATGCAGCAAGAGCCATCCCTTCCAATTTTAAGGTGGTAGTAAAACATTATGGGCGCAAAACAAAATGTGAGCCTGTAACATGAATGTCACCGGGACAGCTGAGACTAAGGAAGAGATCAAGTTCGATGGTTTGATTTGAATGTTCCCATCTTGATTTTGCTTCTTCCTTCTTTGTGAGAGACCAAAACCATGGGCCTTTATTTTAGCACCATTTTCTGTTCCGTAGCCCCAAGTGATGAAAATGTCTGCAATCTGGAAGAATCACATGGCTTCTCTCAGCATGCGATAAATATGCACCAGAAGAACTGGACAAACTAAACTTGCATTTGCTATTGCTGTGGAATTGGAAGAAGATCTTGCTTTGAAGTATCCTGAATAGCATTGGAATACCCACAGCTATTTGATTCCGATTCAGCAGCAACACTGAAAGGCCAGATAGCTAAAAATTGGCTAAGCTGATACCAGAGAACTAGAAGACACAGTACAATATATAGAAAATATTCCCCCCACAGCTAGGTTGGAAACTGGAAAAGAAATACTTGATATCTTCCTCCCTCCCCCCAAAAGCACAAGATAAACTCCAGGCAAAACCCAGGAAACCTTTGCCCCATTAAACAGATGGGTGCATAAAATGCTGGAAGCGTCGACTGAACATTGGCCACTTTTAATTTATTAAGAAAATCCTCCGAGAAACAGAAGCGTTTACAGTAATGGAAAGCTTATTGCTGATGATTTCAAGTCAACCCAAGAGGAAAATATTCACTTGCAACTCCAAAGCCGAAGACCCAAATCACTGGAATTCTATTTTAGAGTAGATTTTTTAATGTCAATCAACCATTCTGGATGGAGCACAGCTCTTTTCCTGGAAAACCCCTGTGAGATGAATTAGTATCTGGGTGTACAACATTCTTTATGGAAAACAACAAGAAAGCAAGGTGGGCTTATTAAAAAAAGAACCAGGTGAGAACAGATGCATGAGGCGGAACAATAATGTTCTACAGCACTTATTTTGAGACTTGGCACTGTACACTGAAGGCCCGAGGCAAAGATATTTAGAATGGTCATACTCAATAGCAGCCTGCGGTATTGAATAATGAATGTCATGTCAAAAAATGTAGGCAATATTCCCAGGCAAAGCTTTCTTTAGACAAGTCTCAGCCAGACCATAAATCAGCAGAACAGAAATATAACTATTATTATCATCTCCACTTAGGAAATCTGAGTCAACCGCACGCTTTAACGGGCTCATTATACTACGCGCTTCAAAAGACACACACAGTAAGGACAAAGCGTATACCACTGGCACATCATGCAGCTAACTCGTGAACTCATGAACCAACAACAAGGCAGAGCATAAGCACTCCTTGGCGCGTGTGTGTAGCCAGGCAGGACAGGGATGTTGGAGAAAGGTACAATTCACAGCAACGTTAGAGAAAGGCACCATTCACAGCAAGAACAGATCAAGGTGGGTAGCTGTGTGTGCCAGTCTGTAGGAGCAGAAAAGAGCAAGAATCCAGTAGGACCATAAAGACTAACAAAATTTGTGGCAGGGGATGAGCTTTCGTGAGCCAGCACTCACTACCTGAAGAAGTGAGCACTGACTCACGAAAGGTTATACCTTGCCACAAATTTTGTTAGGGCGATTTCGCACTAGAGCTGCCTCGCGGTTGCGCCGCCGTTTGCCCCGACACTATTTGTCAATTTCACACCCGAGGCTGCGGGGCTGCATTTGACCCGCGGCTTCGCCTGATTTCCTCTGCGGCAGGGACGGATGAAGGTCAACTGATGCTGTAAGCACAGGCCAGCAATGGTGCCCCTCAGCCCTTCCGTTGCTTAACCGACAACACATTATGACTAAATAAGCGCTGAAGGTGAAATAAGAGATTAAAAATTCAGCTTTCTTCCAGGCCATCCTCCAGGCCAGACCCCACAACTATATTAAATAAATACGTCTTATTTTTTAACTTATTTAACATTAAATAGCCATAAGCGATATAAGAACAACAAGAAGAGAAGAGATTGGATTTATACCCTACCCTTCACTCAGAGTCTCAGAGCGGCTCACAAGCTCCTTTCCCTTCCCCTCCCCACAACAGACACCCTGTGAGGTAGGTGGGGCTGAGAGAGCTCCTGAGAGAAACGGCTCTTTCAAGGACAACTCTGATAGAACTATGGCTTGCCCAAGGCCATCCAGCAGGTGCAAGTGGAGGAGTGGGGAATCAAACCCGGTTCTCCCAGATGAGAGTCCGCGCACTTAACCACTACACCACACTGGCTCTCAAAAAACCCTCTATGGTCCACCCTTCCCTTGGTGCCCTGAGCTCATGCTCATTTGACTTAATGGTTAATCCAGGGCTACTTTCATATGCTACTGGACTCTTGATCTTTTCTACTATCACAAGAACAGAAGCCCTTGATGCAGCTGAGCATGCGCACAGAATCCAGGGGCTGATGGAACCTCGACTTCATGCGAAATCAAGACCTGGGCTCTGCTCTAGGATGGCTCTACAGACAACAGACTCCCCAAACCTGAACTGAAAACTGTCACATCTGAACACGACACTTTCTGGTTTGCACAGCCTCGCCCTTCACACTGGTAAAGCCCTTGATGGGGCCAGATTTAACAGGAGCACCCACCATTCAGAATCTGGCCCTGCACCCAGTGTCGATCAGCCGGAAGGCTCTGTACTTCCTTCTTCACCGCCCAAACAGATAGCGGTGAAAAACTCATCCTCGGTTTGCACACCGATATCCACCTACGTTAACACGGATGCTCCTCGCTAGCTGTTAACGTCAGATTTTATGCAGCCGTAAGCCAAGTTTCCAATGATGCATTTAGCCATTATGTGGCTATTTATATCTCTATAAAGTTAGTTTATTGCAATATAAATAGTAATGCTAATGGCATTAACAGCAGCGTTCGGCAGCATCACAGATGTTACGCGCTGCTCCGCCGCTGTTTGTATTACTGTTTATATCACCATAAGCTTAGCGAGATAGTCAAACTTGCCTCATTTACCCCGCAAGAAAGATAAATGCCCACACTTCAGATACAAAACCAAGCCTTTTCATGGGCGGTTATATGGTAATTTCTCTGAATATGTTTCCCGAAGTATTCTAATGGTGCTTTTGGATGGGCGTCAGGCAACCTTGTCTTCAAAGCACCAATTAAGTTATGGCCGCTTTCCGGTTTTCAGTGAACTTGCCAAAGTGAACTATTTACCTTGGTAGAGCAAAATTTGCGTCCAGTGGCAACCCTTGAGACCAATAAAGTTGAATTCTTCAGATCCACACGAAAGCTTATACCAAGAATCAAATGTCAATATATTATGAGAAAATGGTAGAATGTGAAGTAGGTGGTTATAGTGGTTTTTAAAGTTATAATGTTATATAATTTCCTTAAAAATTCAAGTATTTGAATCAAGGATAGTCATTTATATTTGCAAAAAATGCCCTTTATACTATGTTTTGGTAATTTTACCTTTTATTCTTTCTCCTTACCCCCCTTTTTTAAAAGTCTGTATTCCCTCAAAACATTCAAAATTAAAAAACAAATTTAAAAAAAGAAAGAAAGCTTATACCCAGAGTTAAACTCTGTTGTTCTTAAAGGTGCCGCCGGACTCAAACTTTGTCCTGTTGCTTCGGAGCAACATAGCTGCCCACCTGAACCTATTTACTTTGGTGCAATTGATACCAATAAGACTACCTTTCAGATAAAGCACGTAACGGCAGACTTACGGTCTCCATGGCATCGCAGAGGGCCCACAGTGAGCTTTGCTTCTGAGCCAGGCCGATCAATGTCCCCGACTATAACTTGGCTGACAGGTAGATGGTCTTTGTAAGACAGGAACCCGGTGTCTTTTCTCCTGAAAAGAGAAATGACAAAGCGTGAGCTTTTTAATAACAGTTGTCCGTGGAGATCACGGTATGCCGAGGAACGTGATAAGGAAGTTCTATTCCATCATGCTATTCTTTAGTCTCTCTCGAAACACGGGCAAGGCACAATCCATCGACTGAAGGAGGGTGCTGAATTATACTCGCTTTTTTCAAGCAGGCTTTATTGGCATATAAGAATTAAAACGAGCAAGATATGAAAGAATAAAAATCAGAGTACACAGTAACAATTAGATAATATCCTCAATTATTTCTGAAGCTTCTCCTGGCGCAGCTTTATGGTGAGTTATAAGAACTTTGCCACCTGCTCAGTCATATCAGAGGAGGAATCCTTCAAAAGGCAGTAAACCTTGCAGGAGTCGGAGAAGCCTGTCCTATTAGCGAAAATAGAGCTGAAACGTTTAAAACAAATATCTCCATCGAAAGAACAATAGAGGAAAACATGCGGGACCGTCTCAGTGCAATTGGTGTTACAAGGACGATGTTTAGTCGAATATGCTGTCTTTCTCAATCTGCCATATAAAACCGCAGATGGCATGGCATTAAATCTAGCTAAAGAAAAAGCTCACTGTCTTGTTTAGAGTATCTTATAAATCCACGACAACTTGTGGAGGTTTGGAGGGGGGAAATTAATTTACATTTTTTTGGGGGGGGGGGGAAGCCAATGAGAGAGAACACTCAAACGCAGGAAAAGAAGCAACCAAAAAGGGTAAGATTCCAGGAGCACCTTAAAGACTGACAACATTTGTGGCAGGGGATGAGCTTTTGTGAGTCACTGCTCACTTCAGATATCTGAAGAAGCGAGCAGTGACTCACGAGTCCTCATGCCCTACCACAAATTCGGTCCGTCTTTAAGGTGCTCCTGGACTCTTACTTTTTTCTACAGACAGACATGGCTACCCCTCTTAATCAAAAAGGGGTGAGGCACGTACATCAGGTACATCTCTCTCTCAGGTGTGGTGTGATGAGTGAGGAATGTTCTCGTAAGGAGTTTTCTCGGCCCCTTGAGGCTGCTGAAGCACTGCAATGCTTCAGTACAGGCACAAAACAACAACAACACGGAAAACCAATCCACAATGTGAATGTGAACCGATGGCCCACCAGCATGGGGAAAAACCACAAAGAAAACACGTAAGTGTGTATTAATTGCACTGATAAGTGCGATCGTCGGAACCACCACAACACCAACAAAAACCTGGAAGGCGCCTGCAGTCTGGAAAACACCTGTGTCTCTTCAGAAATACTGAAGAGGAGACAATCCTATTTCAGTCGAGTGATTTTTATCAGCTACAGAGTGTAACTAAAAAGGTTGAGAGGGAAAGACATTTAAAATGGATTCAACAAATATAAGACCAGCCCAAATAAATACAATGAAAATGTATTAAACTTCTGTGCCTTTGAACACATGAAGTTGCCTTATAATGAATCAGACCATCAGGCCATCAAGGTAAGAACTGTCAACTCAGACTAGCGGTGGCTCTCTAGAGCAGGGGTGTCGAACTCATTTGTTATGAGGGCCGGATCTGACGTAAATGAGACCTTGTTGGGCCGGGCCATGTGTGTCATAAAATGTAATACCAGGTAGTGGAGATATAAACTTTATAAAGGACACAAACACAAAGGGTTTTTTTTAACTTAAAATAAAAACATCCTTAAAACATTAGCACTCTTGCAATATTTTGTTTATTTAACAATGTCTGATAACTGACACCTCTTGCTCTGAATTAATGCATCAAAATGTCTGTGCTGTTGCAATCCTGAGTATGCTGTTCAGGTGTGTATCTGTAAGCTGCAAACCTACGATGACGCAGCAGCAGCAGAACTGGAAGCAGCAGCAGAAGACAGCCAGTTCCACTGCGGGCCTGATAGAAGTCCTCCAGGGGCCTGATCCGGCCCCTGGGCCACACATTTGACACCCCTGCACTAGAGTCTCAAGTGGAGATCTTTCACATCACCTGGTACCTGGTCCTTTTAGGTGGAAATGCTGCAGATTGAACCTGGAACCTTCTGTGTGCCAAGCAGATGCTCGGGTTGCTAGCTCTGGGTTGGGGTAAAACCAGGAGATTTTGGGGATGGAGCCTGAGGAGGGTGGGATTTGGGAGGAGAGGGACTTCAGTGGGATATAATGCCACAGAGTCCACCTTTGAAAGTAGCCATTTTCTCCAGGGGAACTGATCCCTGGTGCCTGGAGATCAGCTGTAATCCCAGGAGAGCTCAAGCTACCACCTGGAGGTGGTCAACCCTATCTATCACTGAGTCGTATCCTTTCCACAACTGTGCCCCAATGTGAGAAAAGAAGGTAAGGATTGGAGCCTCCTTGTGTGTGGGGGCAGGGAGTCAGCTCCAGTGAGGAAGGCTGTGGAGAAAGGGGGAAAGTTGTGTGAGTCACCAACACAAAATGCGTGTGTGTGTCTGTGTGTGTGTGTGCGGGGTTCAACAGGCAACATAAGACCTTTCCAGGCATTACATTTTTTTGGGGGGGGGGATCCAACTCCATTACTTTGAGCAGTGCTACTGTGGTATGCACGTGCACGTGCTGCCATTTCCCCTGAATATGGAAACGTGCCTATTTTCCAAGCTTCAGTATATGGAATAGGCCCATAGCCAGGTTTGTTTTTTGTTGGTGAAGGTGATGGATCCCTTGCTCGAAAGCCAGTCGAGTCCGACTCTAGGGTTGCGGTGCTCATCTCCGTTTCAAAGCCGAAGAGCCAGCGCTGACCGAAGACGTTTTCCTGGTCATGTGGCCGGCATGACTAAACACCAAGGCGCACGGAACGCTGTTACCTTCCCACCGAAGCGCCACCTATTTATCTACTTGCAATTTCTTGCTTTCGAACTGCTAGGTTGGCAGGAGCTGGATCTAGAGACGGGAGCTCACTCCATCATGCGGCACCCGGGTCTCGAACTGCTGAACTACCAACCTTCCACAGCCTGCAGTTCAGCGTCTTAACTACTTGAGCCACCACAGCTCCTTTTTTTGTTTTTGTTTGTTAGAGGGGCATTAAAATGTTTAAGGGGGCAGTTAAATTACAGTTAAATTAATTAAATCAATCTGAATGCCTGTCTTTAGAGGGGGAGGCTCTGAGCCTATTCCTCGCCCTTCCTTTCAAGGGACAGGGCAGCGAGCGCGTCAGTTCCTAGAAAGAAACAGCTCCGAGGGCCTTTAGTCACCTTCAGGAGGCATCTGAATGCCTTTTGAGTTCCCTTCCACAGGGCAAGAAAGCCTTTCTGGGGGATGGTTGGAGATGTACTGAAGGTGCCACTCTTGAGTGCCCTTCTAAGCTCTCTTGGCCTGTTGGAAGGGAACTCAGAAGGCATTTAAATGCCCGCTGAGCTGTCTTTTCCTGGGTCTCATGATGCCCCCACTCCCAATTCCACAGTGGGAGGAACGGGGAAGCCTGGGGGCTCTCACCTTGGCTGCTGCCAGCAGCAGGCAGCAGGGGCCTCTTCTCAAAAATAAGGTTCCTGGCATGGCTATTTCTGGGGCGGGGCTTTTGATTAAGGGGGCGGGGCCCCAAAATGCCCCACTGTCGCTACAGGCCTGATACAGAATAGTACATTTTCTCACGGCACACGTTCCTATATATACTGAAGCTGGAAAATAAACGCATTTCCCTGTTTAGACAAAATGATGCCCACGCATATTGGGAGCATCGTGGGTAGCGTGCCCTCCCGGTACGTGCAGTTTGTTGTTGTTCAGTCGCACAGCCGAGTCCGACTCTTCGCGACCCCATGGGCTACATCACGCCAGGCCCTCCTGTCTTCCGTTGTCCTCTGGAGTTTGCTCAACTTCATGTTCGTTGCATCTATGACACTGTCTAACCATCTCATCCTTTGCCGTCCCCGTCTTCTTTGACCTTCAATCTTTCCCAGCATCAGGGTCTTCTCCAGTGAGTGCTCCCTTCTCATTGGGTGGCCAAAGTATTTGAGCTTCAGCTTCAGTATCTGGCCTTCCAGGGAACAGTTGGGGTTGATTTCTTTGAGGATTGACTGATTTGTTCTTCTTGCAGTCCAGGGGACTCTCAAGAGTCTTCTCCAGCACCAGCAGTTAGGTCCCCCCAAATATAATGTCTACAGGAGCTTTTAAAAAGAACTTTCCAGACTTTTTGGAAGGAAAGCCTTTTCTGCTTAAAATCAAGTTCAGTTCAAAACTGGAGAAAAATATCCTGAATGGTGTACTTTAGGGCATTGTCAGTCACATGTTACAGTGGACCAAGCTCCCTGTCAATCTTTCAGTAACTTCAGGGCCTCTGTGATCCAGTTTCATTCGCTGAAAGCAATAAAAGGCTGCTCGGTAGGGATTAGCAGAAACCATAGAATTTCCTGGCCCCCATTCATTATTAAGTCCTTTTGAAGCAATGCGAGACAAAAAGTCTCTCTCTTCGTTATTTTAAAGGAAGTCCAATTAAAGTACTTAAGAAAATCACTGTCAAGTTTTAGAATGATGTCTCATTGGAATGGTTGCCTTTCATCTGTGATTAAAACAATAATTAGAAGCTTAATTGCGGTGTTTTAAATATGCAGTTTACAATGTTGTCTGAAAAAAGTGTATAGCAGTAAAGGACAGTTTAGTTTGCAGGGGTCATTTCCTAGAAAAAGAGGTGCAGGAGCTCATTAGCATAACTCATGAGCATAACTCATTTGCATATGCCACACCCCCTGACATCTGCGGAAGTGTGTCAGACGGTAACACCCACCGCTCAGGCTCCACTGGACTCTTTTGGATTGCTAGCTATCGGGGGGGGGGGGGCGGGGGAAGTCTGCC